AAATTTACACGCCACAATACAAGTTCATCTAAAAATAGTACGTCTGTAATCCTCATTTCAATTCAACGCAGCATTATGATTTTAACTAAATGAGAGGCAGCGCTTCTAGGGTACACAATGGAGAAGCTGGATATAGCAAAGGAGCTATTTTAAGACTCAACAGGTTCAATGACATTACACACACTGCCGGCAAAAAGTATTGCCACAGCAAATTTTTCACAATATATGCAACATTTTTTATTCTACCACAGAAAAACATAAATATATAAAACCCAAACTTTGTGCAAAACTCACGAAAATTCAGCAAATTTCCACGCAAGTTTTCAACTTTTTAATCAGATTTTTTTAGAATTTTTTGAGTATGAAGGTTTGTAGCCCAATTAATTTTGTTATAATAAAGTACTAGTTTTAAGTAGCTAGGAATTACCGTTGATTTTTGGCAATTTTTTTTCACGCAGTCTCTTCCATAAAAAAAAATCGAAAATAATTTATATGGAAAAAACACCTTCAACAAAAAAAAAAAAATTCAAAAATTAATGCGATTTTTGACTAACTCCAAACTTGCATTTGTTACTAGAATTTAATGGGCGGCAAAACTGTCTACTCAAAAAAATGTTTAAAAATCTGATTATATGGAAATAATGCGAAGGACAGTCAACCAAAAAATTCTCAAAAATCAACGCGAATTTTTAGACATTTGAAATTCGCAAATTATTACGCTAAAATTGAATGGGCTATAAAACTGCTACATAAATTCTTTTTAGAAATTCGTATTAAAGAGTTCGCGATATTGCTGAAGCTTTGCAGATTTTTCTTAATTTTCGTACACTGTTTCATTCTTGGATTTAAATGTGGTTGGTAAAGCCATATTTTAATACAAAATTAACAAAATATTTTAGCGAATATTAACAAAAAAGAGCCGTACGCTCAATTTAGTAACAGTATGTATGTGCAGGGTACAAAAAAAAATTAATGAATTGAATACATATATGAATGAATGTATTGAAAGAAATTATGTTGCATTAGATTTACCTTTTATTATAAACTTCCCTTATATTTAAGATAATTTGTAAATATACATACATACATTTCCAAGTAAAAACGTATGTCAAATGTTTCGTATGTAGTATGTACGTACATCCCCATACATATTAACTGGTTCCCTCAGGTTTTACTACTTGTTTGTCTGACTGACTCTGGAATTTCGTTGTCAAACTTGTTTGTTAATCAAGTTTTTGGTTCAGTTGAAAGTGAAACTTACATACACATCCTTTTGGGCTGTGTAAATAAACACGTGCATATGTGTACTAACAAGTAATGAATTTCTGTTAACGCAAGCTGCAGAAATTTGCGCTCTACCATACTAAATGGTTGCACTTGCCCACAAAACTAGTTTAACAGAAATATGCACAATTCTAAATATGCTGGTGTCTAAGCGTCATAAATAAAGAATGCAAAACTTTTTAATTTAATTTTTTATTTGACACAAGGCATATTTTTTTTAATGTTGATAATTTAACGAATGAGAGTTTAACTTAATGCTCAGATGCCTTTTTCTTCTTCTCTCATGCCTTGCAATATTAATCTGTAGAAAGTTTTACCACCTCCGATAAGCTATGGTGAAATGAATGAATGGATGTTAAGCAGCTTCGTACACTCCCTAATTGGCATTTGAAATATCAAAAAATCTATGTATGTTAACTTTTCGAAATCGGTGTATTTTACGAACCTAAGTTTCTAAGTTCAGGAGCTGAATTCTGTAACTGTGAGTTTTCATGTGTACAGTGAAAATTGTGTAGCAGCTTCAGCTTGCGATTCAGCAAGTGTGAGAATGAGTTTCAACTGTCAAAATTGTGTACACTTCTCTTACGAAAAACATATAGCTTTTATTCGGCAAGTTTTTGGTTGTGAGTTTCGCACTCGGTGTACACTACATTTTCTCACAGTTACAGAATCCAGGCGAATTGATATGTACAAGGTGGTGTTACCGGAGTAGCTGACGACGAATTGCGATGATTGTCAAAATGATATGTTTTTGTCGTAAATTTTTTGAGGTTGTGTGTATAATTTGTTAGTGCAGTTTTTTTGCTTTTGTGTTGCCGCTATCACCTTCTACGAATTCACCTTGGTGTACGCCGTTGATCTGTGTTTAAACTTAAACTCATGAAGAAACGATATCCTGACGAGAATATTACATTGCCATAACTTCAGGTTTATCTAACCGGAGCTTCATAGACTTACAAACATATATCTGGCCAAGGACAATCAATCCAGCAAGATTACCCAAAAACTTAACATCGATACTGTAATTGTCCGTAAAGTGGTACCGATAACATTCTCATATAATAAAATAACTTCATACGATCCTCCTTGTTATTAGAGATCATCGAGAGGCGTATCGGCCTTTCACAGCAAAACGACATCCAACTGTTTTGATATCGCACCTCAAGAAATTAAATTAACAATCTAAGGTAAAGGCAGCTTATATGTAATAATAAAAATAGATTGGCGCCTACACAGTATTTATGTTTGACCCAAAATTTAAAACTTTGGTCCACCTTAAAAGAAAAAAAAACAATTGTTATGAGGTAGAGCAGAGTTCTATTGAAATTCAATGACTTGGTAGGGGTAACCAAGTTTGGGCATAACTTCATTGAGACTCCTAAATGATAGATCCTTTGAGTTGGAAGGTACGTTGACCACCATTATTTTCGAAATGGAGGCGATTCCACAACTTTCTTAGTCCTGCAAACTAATTTTTTATATTCCGCATCTGTACCTACTACAAAAAAGTGTATATTTTTATGGATTTTCACTGGGCATTAAGTGAGCAAATTTTTTTGACAGTTGTCCATTCAACATTACCAGAGTCATTACGTTAATAAAAATTGTTATAAAGTTCATTTCCACATATCATTTTTTAAATAGCAGATTTATTTATTTAATGCTGAGTAAAAATCCGTCACAAAAGTATACATCACGCCCCATATTAAGAAATTGGTACGGTTATAAAGTTTATTATATTCTAAGACTTAATATTTCGGACAAGTAATAGAATTTACGTGAGCTGGACTGATTAGAAAATAACTCCAAAAATCCAGTTTTTTATGAATAAAATTATTTTTTGAAAATGTTTTTTCCCGAAAAAATCACCTCAGCTTAAAGTCTGCTGTCATCTGAGGTGAGTTTAAAAAAAAATAATAATAATCAGTTATAAAAAACTTGCTTTTTTAAGTATTTTTAAATCGGCCCAGCTCACTAAAATCTTAATATTTTTCCGCATTATTTTGGTGGAATACTTAAAATATAGTCGATTTTATAGTCGGTTTACATCCAATGGAAATAGATTCCTATTTTTAGTAAATATATTTGTATGTAGTGTTAAAAAGAATTTTGAGAAACGCGCTATATTGAAGGCTATCACTGAATTCGTCGTAGTCCGAAGTTTCGTGAAATCGTACATTTTACCAAAATCGGACTACGATGCACAGTGGTTTCAAACTGGAATTTAGTGTTCACAATTCACTGGAGGCTTCATTTTTCACTCAATTTGATTATTTTTTTTTTTTAACGAAAGCTAATAAAATTTTCAACGGACCAGTTGAGCCCGATTTTTAAATTTTTGTTTGTTTGTATTAAATTTTCGAGTTAATAAATGTTACGCAATAAAAACATTTGAAAGCAATTGAAGGGTGCCCGCGAAACGAAAATATACTGAAATGTTAAAATTAATTGTGAACACAAAATGCCAATTTTGAACCACTGTGCGATGGTTGCAGCGATAGCCCAGACTATTTGTTACTTCCTAAGATTTAAGTGAGACCCCAAATCTGTTTTTATTTTGTAACAAAGTTTGTGGAAAATATTTTCATTGAAAACAAAAAAAAAACTCACCAAATGTAAAACAGTGTTGACGACCTCCCGATTGGTCACCTGACCAACCTCGATTAGTCCGATGAGAACGGCGAACTTCAAATTGTCGGCGGTGGTCATCCTGACGATTTCGTCTGGCCGTTTAATATCACTAAACGGCGGACGTATAATGTCCGCCATTTTGTAAGTTTTGTTAATTTTTGGTTTTAAGATTAGTTTGTTGTGTTTACACGTTTATTTGTTTTATTTTTTATTATTGTATATTAAGCACAAAAGTACCGTCGTCGATAGCGCACAAATCCAAAAAGGATAAATATTTGTATAGATAATTTGGATTTTTTTTTGTGACACTAAGTAAATAATTTGGAATTAGGTTACACTTTTCAATTTAAATTTATTTGGGACACACATATTTGGGCACAAAATTGATGGTATGTAAATATGTATTTTACATTTAGACATATGTTTGTATGTATGTATGTTACATTGGGGTCTGGTGGATGGATGGATGGATGCGAGGATAAAAACAAAGACTTAGACACTTTAGACGGACACTTTGCTTCAAATAGTTTTGTAAAGATTATTTTTTTTTGAATTGCAGCGATTTTCGCACAAGTTGTTTGTATGTTTGTTTGTATGTATATATGTGATAACGCTTAAGCTGTTTTAGCTAGGCTTTAAGCACTGATTGATTGAACTGCTGTTAAATTGGCTGAGCGGTTTTATTACATGCAGACATATGTATGTATGTATGTACGTACACATATATATGTATGGTGTTGATTACCGTTTGCAAGCACTATTTAAACTCTTGAATAATGCGATTAAGTTATTGCGATTATCTTATAACTTTTATTGGTTAATTATAATGTTGTGCAAAGATAGATTGACTGATTTACATATACAACTGGGTAATATGTATGTATGTATGTATGGATTTATTTAACTTTATAATTTAAAACTTTATTTTTTTTTTAATATGTATTTTAGCATATTTATGTTTTTTTTTGTAGATTATTTTGAAAGCACAAGCACATTAAGGACTGCGATTATTTGTTGTAAGTAGCAAGCTTCTCGCTTGTTTGTTATTTAATGGGGATGGAATAGATTTTAAGTATTTTTTTTTATATTTATGTATGCAGTAAGTACGTATGTAGGTTTAGTTTTAGTAAAGTTTTATAATTATTTTTTAGATTTATGATAAAATATTTTTTTTTCAAGTTTCAATGCTATTGAAGATACTTTATAATTTTTTTCACTCAAAGGATTTTTTTAATCACACAATTTTAGTGATTATTATAACATCCGGTGAAAGATACATGGATATTTTCACACAGGGTGCTGAAAAGGAAAAAAATCAAATTTGTAATTAATTGGGAAAATAAAAATACTAGGAATTTTAAACAAACATATATATTTAGGTACAACAGTGAGTGTGGTAAAAATAATTTTATAATGAAATAGGAATGCAATTTAAGGTACCAACTTTTTAAATGCGTATACATATATAGCACACTTACATATACATATATAACATACATACACACGTACACATAACGTACATAGCTAACTTAATAATTTAAAACTTTGTTAAAATGTGTATATGTGTATCTACACCAACTAAATACAATTTCAATACCTAGATTTTTTTTACAATATTCATAATGTTTTTCCTAAAAATATGTTCTCGTTAAATTTTTATATAAATATAGTTCATTCTATAATATCTTATCCAATTAATTTAAACGAGCTATAAATTGCTATAATGATTTTGATGAAATTTTGTGTTTTGCATTTTAAGGTAGGTAGATAGGTGTTATCTCCGAGAATATTTGTATAAGGTTGCCAGCTATTCGAAATTAGTTACAAACTGAATAAAAATCAATATATGGGTATCAAAAGTATTTTAAAACTTCCCTATTCAGGAATATTTTTGACAGGGTTGCCACCAATTTTCCATTTATTTATTACAGTATTGTCATTTTATTAATTTTTTGTTTAGAGAATTATGATACAATATTATTTATTAAGGTTACAATGGGATATTAGAGTAGGGTTGCCACTTATTGCCGATTACCCAAAATTTAACTAAAATACCTTAATACGGATATCAAATAAAAAATATTTTTGAGAACATTAATGCAGAAATATTTTTGTTTAGGGTTGCCACGTCTGTTTAATAGCAATTTGTGTCTTACTAATATCAACGATCATTTTTTATGTTGGTAATGTATATATATGTATACATATACATATATGTACTTTCATCCATGAACACGAAGATCACGCCAGAACGCTACGTTGTATTTGTAACTGGTTTTGAGAAAAAAGTTTGTAAAATCGGGCTCGTCAGCTCAGCATTTGTTAACATTACAAGCACCACTATTTTACTTTTTTTTTAATAAAAGTATAGTTAATTCAACACCACGACAACACGTTTTGAAGAGTTTTAATGAATTTTATCTCAATTGTGTTTTTAAAGTAGCTAACAATAATTTTGGTTATCGTTGTTTTCTTTGCTTACTTTTTGTTCGTTTTAAAAACTTAGTTAAATGGAAAGATTTAAAAAATTTCGTTCTTTCAATTGCATTAAAAATTGTTTAAAATTTAAAATGATCTTCGATAATCAATATGAGCTTCGTGTAAACGAACATAACGCTCTTTTACTTCAATGCTGTCATAACTCAAAAAAAAAATACAAAAACTCGAAAAAACAGCTTTAAAGTTTTGAATTTAAATATATTCCCATAGTAAAAATCAATAAAGATTTTTTTCAACGATATAATGGAGGTCATAAAAGCTAATTAATCTGATTTTTCCATTTTCATGTTTGCCTTAAAAATAACTGGAAGTACGAATATTATCGATACTTTTTTTCAAATATGAGTACTGGCAACGATTCTTCTTTAGAGTATTTAAAATTAGTACTAGTATCGATACCTTTCTAAAAACTTCTATCACTGTTCTTGCGTGATCTCCCGTCGTTCGTTCATGCTTTCAACCTGGTGTATTTTTATAGGGTTGCCACCTAATTTTTAATGCAAAATATTTATTTAATTTATTAGATGCAAAAAATAATTTTTTTAATTAAGTATCTACCAAAATATTAATTGTATAGAATTCTGAGGCACGGAGTAGGCTGATATTTTTTTTATCAACATTATTTTTTCAAAGTTTTTATTTTCATTTTGTTTTACTTAGCACTCATAAGGCTGACATATTAACGCATCGATAATACTTTTTTTATCGACATATTTTGTATAAAAAAGAGTTATTGGATGGGTGTAAATTTTTAAATTAAAGCTTTCGACCATGATTTGATAGCCAAATCTTAAAAACTTTCAAAAGTAACTGTAAAAAGTAAAGCAAAATACTTTTCTACTGGGAATTAAAAAAATATATATATACTTTTTTTATTAATTTTGCAAGCGTATACACTACGTCACTATTATAGGAAATCTATATTATTTATGTTCATAAATATGTATGTACATAGGTATGTATGTACGTATAATAATAATAAAGGGGAAAAACACTAAAAAATATAGGGCAAATATCTCAAATTTCATGTTCGATTACTGAATGGAAAACAAAAGTATCAATGGGAAATAAATAAATATACAAACACAGGCGTTATTCATGCATTTATTGTGTTTACTTATGTATGTATGTGAGCTCATTGGCAGATATACGTACTGAAAATATTACTTATTCGACCTTGTCAAAAAACTGTTTCGAGGTTGGAAAATTATAACCTTTACAATGAAAGAAAATTTCCTTAAAATTTGGTTAGGTAAGAAAATATAGTTTTTTAGTCTAGAATTTTATTTTAACTAGCGTAAAAACTTTTTAAAGTCAATTATTTATGATGAAAAACTAGTGTAAATAAACAATTTTTTATTTATGCATAATTAGGGCAGTTTTTTTTGTAGTTAAAGGGTGTTGATAGCAGCAAATACTTTCGAAAATTATTCACTTTTCGTTTAGTATTGTTACATATCTCCTTTCATTTATGTAATAGAATAAAGTGTTTTTGTGAAGTGGAGAAAATTAAGGTTTTGTGTAACTAATTTTTGTTTTTTCCATATATTTATATTGTACCTCGTTGTATTTCAATTTTACTTCATGGCTGCTAGAAAAAAGTTAGCAAAAGGGTTGTCTTTTCAATAATACGAAAGTATATATATAATAAATATAAAGTACAACCAAGTCAAGTAACTCTAATGCGTTTAAAAAAATTGGTTTAAAAATATATGAACAAATCGAATTTTTTTTTCGCCAATACATCGTGACACAACCAAATTTGACAAGGGATGACGGAAAATCGTTCCACATTACATCACAATAATTATTATCTTTCAGCGAAAAAAATAAAAATCAGTAAATAATAACTTCCTTTGAGCGAAAAAATAAAACTCAAATATTAATTATTATTTTTAATCTTTATTTATGAAACTCGAAAAATTAAAATCATTGTAAATTACAGTAGGACAAACGAACACAAATACGTACGTATAGTTAAGTTTATTTTTCGAAGATTACAACTTTAAAATGTAATGATTACACTGAACTACAAATTTTAGTTTTAAATTTGTTTCCCAGATGCCACTACTCTTTTATTTTTTTTTTTAATTTTTATTTTTTTTTTGTTCATTAATTATTCAGAAACTATCAGGCCTATCGAAAAGTCATGTATACACGGTTTTTGGAGAATTGCATTGGCTTTCATTTGCAGTATTTCGTTTTACGATTATTTAATTGGCTCGTATGATATACATATGTAGGTGATTAAGTGGAACCACTCTTTTTTTAAGCTGAATAACGGTAAATTGCAAATATCTCGAAAACGTATTCATACAAAAAAAATTAACTCAATATTCGGAATCACCGAGCAATTCTACAAGCGAATTGGAAAGGGGCATCCATAGAACGTTTTTGTTGTAAACCAGTGTTATTTACCGTCCCTGGTAAGGGGTTTTTAGTTATTAGGAATCAATTTCTGCACTTATCATTTTCTCAAAACTGTCACCAGCGGGCGCAACAGTGAAAATTTTCACATTTTCTTCGAAACCTATTTTCGCAATTGGGCAAACTCCAAATTGATTTTAGACCCATGGTCTTTTCGGCAAATTTGCTTAGAATTATATGTAGTAGTTGCAAAAAAATTGGGCCGACCTAATGTAGATGCATATGTAGGTATGTATGTATGTACATATATTCGATACTTATGTATTTACCGTACTATTCAACATTTCAAATTGAGATATCAGTCTTTAAATAGTAAATGTACCTACTAACTTTTTACTGGCACTGAAATCAGTGGAAGTGTTCTCACAAAGTGTATTTGACACACCATTATAAATATTTTTCTCGAATTTTTATTATCTACTCTCATTGCAATTAGCTAAATGGTAGTAGTGTTGCTGCAACAAAAACAACAGGCTTTTATAACTTTCGTATATGTATATGTTTATATGTACATATTTATGTATGCATGTGTGCTCACTTGAGAGTGTATATAGATTTGTAGATCGGTTTATCTACGCGTGTGCCATATAAAAGTGACACACAAGCCAAAACTGTATGTTAAAAAGCAAAAGGTGTGCACGTTGTTTTCATGAGGGGCAAAAGTGTGAAATTACTTAACATCATTTCGTTTTTTGCATAAAATTGTTTTTTTTTTTAAATTTTTTTATACACTTCGTCCCAACAAACACAGCAAATGAGATTTTTAAAGTTTTTCTGAAATAATCATGATCAACAATAAATTGCAATATATTAGGTACACACTTTTGTATTCTACGCTTTCCCAGTCAAAGTGCGAAACCTTAAACTGAGCATCTTTGGAATAAAAGCACTGTGCACTTTTGCGGCTAATGAAACACACGCACTTAACTTAACTCCTGCACAAAAGGAAACATAAAGTTTGTACGTTTAAAACATAAGAGGATTTTAGAATTGTATATAAGTACATATGTATGTATTTTTCAAATGCCCATGTCTAATAAGAAAATATTCATAATTTCTTTGTGCTCAAATTGAAGTTTGCATTTTATGTTCTTTGTATTCTCAGNGGATTTTAGAATTGTATATAAGTACATATGTATGTATTTTTCAAATGCCCTTGTCTAATAAGAAAATATTCATAATTTCTTTGTGCTCAAATTGAAGTTTGCATTTTATGTTCTTTGTATTCTCAGCGTAATTTTTTTTTTGTTATTATGAAAGTTTCTTCAGTGTGCCCGCTGCCATCACGGTACGATACGTTGAAAAATCAATGAATGGCAGCAACAAAAACAACATGCTTGCTAGCGCAGAGGACAGCAAAAACACAAGTGGCAGTAGCAGCAGCGCCGACGTCTGCGCAAGTAAAAGCAGTAGAATAGTAGTTGGCCACAGTAAAAAAAAAAAAAATAAAAAAATAGAAGAACTATGAATTCCAAGTCGAAAAACTGCTGAGACTCCATATGCATACATACGCTGAAGTTACTAGCCAACATGTATACATATGCATATACTATTTCGTGGCAATATGCATACATAAGCACAAATTTTGCAGGCAAACTCATAAGTTATCCATCTGTTTAGATACCCATTAATATAGCATTTTTCTAAACTTGGAATGAGAGTGCACACCTTCTTCTTTAGCAATAAAAATAATACCTACATATCTTGACCGTTTTTAAGGCACATGCAGTAAACGAAAAAAACGTGCAGTCGCAGCAGCGACTTTGCGCTGCACGTCATGGTACGACGTCGGTGATGGCGACGGTGGTTGCTGCTGCTTTTGCTACTGTTTTTGCTGCTGTTGTGGTGGTGGTGTAACACTCGATTAAGAGAACTCTGTTTTTATCCAATTAAAAATTCTTATATTTTCTTATTAGACTTTGCAAATTCACTTCCGTCATGCATTTTATATAGTTTTATTATAATACGTTAATTCAAAAATAAATATAACTTTGGATTTGTGCTGTAATTACATTTAAAATGTTGTAGTTTCGCCCGTAAGCGGATTATTTTAGTATTTTGTGTTCTTTATACACTTATTTTTTTCTTTTTATACTGCTCATCCAACCACTTTTTTTGCTTTTTCTGAACTTTTTAAAACACCGCGTCAACCAAACGTTTTTTCACGACGGCGTCAACATAACTAATACGGGCAAAAGTATTTTAAGTTCGGCATCAACACCATCCACTTAACTGGGCGTTCCACAGTCCACGCATGTCATGTCCACAAAATTCTGATAAGCATGAAGTTGGCTTTGATTGTCGAATCAGCCTTTGTCTTCCAATTAGAAAACTGCTGTTTTGAGTAGATTTCTTTTGAGCTGACATTCGTTTATTCAGTGTTGCATTTTTGTTCCTAACCGATTCGGCGGTCGGGACTATCGATAGAGGGCAATATTTTTTTTCTGAAACTATCGATAGTCTGTGGAAAAACACTTCATATTGAAAAAAAAATTTGAGCCCTCCTTAACTTTCTGTCTCCACAGGCAAAAGTTTTTATGTTAATAATGTTATCGGCAAAATTTTGCCAACCGCATATTGCTCTTGGCAATCAATAAGTATCAGAGCTTTAATCTTGATAAATATTGCCAGCAATTTGGTACTTTGACACCTACATTTGCGCAATAACTTCGTGGCGGCAACATTAATGATATACTGCCTTATCCTGAGTTTCGCCCGAAAAAAAATTCACTCGAAAATTTGTCATCCGCCCGTAGTAAAACCATGGAAACCAAAAGTGAAAAGTGAACCGGTTCAGGGAAAATGAAACTCATGATAAGGCTGATTTTAATATAAAAGCAAAAATTGAGCTGTTTTCTATTAAAATATTAATTATTATGTACTAGGGTGTGAAATAACACATTTTCTAAATTTTGTAAGCGATTAAATCCGCCAAAATCGTGGATGTTTTTGCGAAACCGCCCATCGACCAATCGCAAAACCGTTCCACCGTTAATCTTCTCTTTTGCCAGAGTGCCAGGCCACTTGCTAAATTCGGTGAACACCTCTATACCTTTTTTGATGTAATTTTTTGACTGCTAGAAATTTCGGAAACGCTGCCAACTTCACACTAGAAGTGGAGAAAAATTGATGTTTGCTAACATCCACGGTGGAGAGAATACAGAAGGTGGCGCCGATGGCAATACCGCTAATAGGCTCTCAGTGAATTTGACAGAATCAGCTGTTTTGCTGACGTCACAATCGAGATGGCAGCAGTAGTGATGTGCTGAGTCAATACTTTTAAGTATCCAATACTCTCGATACTCGGTACCGAAACATTTAGGTTTCGAATAAAAGCGCACATAGGCCAAAAATATGGAAAAAACGCCTATCAAAATCCGAATGTAGGAGCCAATAGAGCTTTTAATACTGATGCAAATGAAACGTATGAAATATTTTTACGTCAACAAGTGCGATATCGATCCGAAACTTGTCGCTAACTGGTTACAGAATCTCCCCTGAAAGGCTGCTTCATCCGTCAAAGTATTTTTCTTGAACCTTGGATCGACTAAGGTCAAAACTGATAAAATAATATTTCTCTGTTGCGATAAGTTCACGTGGTTTAGCCGATATCATATAAATTTGTATTGAAAGTTTTTTCCAAACTTGAAATGCATATAATGGCGAAGATTTAATGTAAGGAATCAGTGTCGGGTACCGATAAGGAAGTATTGGGTACCGAAACCTTTTTTAAGTATTGGGTACCGACAATTCAGCACATCACTAGATGGCAGTTTTATTTGCCGCTCTCAGTTATCAACTCTACGGTGACTTCATGCCAAAATAACTCTCACGAATTCTGCTGCAATCGACGCAATCTTGTATTCTATCATAAATATAATAAAAATAGGGCTTTCAAAGCCGAAGTTAAGTTATTATTGGGATAAGATAACCCACTAAAAATTATGTCCAAAAGCCGCAGCTAGCTTTAGGTATGAACTTAATTTTTACTATGAATACGACCCAATAGATTTTTAATGTATGTTATTGCAAATGAAATTATCCAAAAAAAAATTTTGTGGAGCCATTTCCTTCCATATAAGTAATATACATCCCTAATAGGAGCCATATTGGGCTAAAAATGCAGGGTTTTCGAATATCTCGCGGAAGATTCTTAAAAAATTATTGCAGGTATATAGGCAAATCTCCGGAAGCGTGTGCTTTTGTGTCACTCACATTTAAGTTAATTTTATTAATGTAATTTTACTTTTTATAAAAAACGTGGGTCATTTTGATAACAAATGTGACGTGTTCCTGTAACTTATTTAATTATTTTAATGTAATTTTAATTTTTATAATGTTAATGATTCGTTAACGGCATTTAATGAACATTAAAGTTAAGTAAACAAACCCTAACTTTTTAATGAATGATTTTGAAATTTTTTGTTTGTTTTCAATAAATTTCAATATCGATAACGTTGCTGTAATAGTAGCAATGGCCCAGTGAGCAGAGCACTTTCGTGCTATTCAGGAGATGCGAGTTCAATCATCGGCAAGGAATTCTTTTTAATAAAATTTTTTTAAGTTTTATTCCCGAAAAAAATTCATATTTTTTATTTTATTTAACGTTTGGAAATTTTTTTGATTCATCTTTTTTCTTTTACTTTCTGCTTCTCAAATTTTTAGTTTTTCCTGTTTTAAAAAGATATTTTTTTCATTTCGTTTAGTTTTTAGAAAACTTATTGCTAAACGATAAATATAATAACACTATTAGCACATCTTTCAATTACTCATTCGAAATACAGAAAAGAGCTTGCAAGATAGTTGCCGAAATATAAAGACTTTTGTCTCTCGAAAGACTGAGGTGAATTGAAAGTCCCATGCCAGAATTGGCCTGTTATTGTTCTTGTTTGTCTTTTAGCAAACAATTTAATTAAATAAAAAAAAAATTGTTTCCATTTTAAAGCAATAAAATCTAAAAATCAAAAGAAAATTAGATCAAAAAAGCAAAAAAATTCAATAAAAATTGTTTATAAAAATTAAACAAGAAAAAAAGAAAATTTCCCGGCCCATCTCTAGTTCAGATACGGCAACTCGAAGTTTGTGGGAGAGAGAGCGACGAAGAAGGGGAAGGGTAGCGAGTTTCTCGTGCTCAGGCGGTTCACAGCTGACAAAAGAGTTGCTGTGTGTGAATGCGACGGGCAACAGCAAAAGAGAAATCGCCGATAGTAAGCAACACGAGTTGCCTTGTCTGAACGCAGGTAATTTTCTAGAAAGATATCGATATTTTGATATATATTTTGATATATCGATATTTTTTACCCAATCGTACCACATTTGTGAGTAATTTTTCAGACGGAGAAAGCCTGCGAACTGTTTTGTAAAAAATAATTTATGTACTTAAGGAATTGTATTTTTAATAAAAATTCAACAAAAGTGTTGCGCAAAGGTATATTTCACTATTCGTAAAAAAGTAAATCAAGTTTAAATAGCTAATAAATGAATTAAAAGCGTAGTAGCAAGGGTTTGAATTTATTGATTTTCTTCCAATCGTCGTACCTCGGTGATTTATCTAACCTTGCCCGAAGAAAAAATTAAAACTAACATTTCTAGTTCGTATTCATTGTGTACGCAGATTACTACCTACATACATATTTAGTCTGAATTTGTAAATTTTCTTCTAAAGTTAATAGAAATGCGTTATGGTCTAAATGGCATTAACTGCTTTATAATGACATCATCACCACTGAAACCTTGTTTGCATTTCTCTATTCCTCGCAAGCATTTTAATTATTTCTTTTTCATTGCTCAGCAGGCCAAAACGAGTAAATAAAATCCGTTGCAGTTAATACAAAAACATCAAAACAACCAACTTCAGCATGGATCGCAAAGCTGAGCTGGAACGTAAGAAAGCCAAGTTGGCAGCGCTTCGCGAGGAAAAAGATCGGCGTAGGCGTGAAAAGGAAATGAAAGATATGGAGGAGGCTGCTGGACGTATAGGTGGAGGCGTTGGCATCGACAAAGATCAGAGGAAGTAAGTGAAATTAGTTCAAGAGTATTTTTGGTATGAAATATGTTTATACAACTAATATCCCCTTTAGAGATTTGGATGAGATGTTATCTTCGCTGGGTGTTGCGCCCGTGTCAGAGGTATTATCTTCCTTGTCTTCTGTAAACTCGCTGACATCGGACAACTCCAATACTCAAACACCAGATGCAAGCTTACAAGCGAATATGAATGGCGTTGGGTTAGTTTCTCATTAAGTATTAAAATACCGGATAAACCTTAATAACTAATTTTACATAATTTTTAATATTTATCTACAAGTGGTCCCAAAAAGCAGCCCTTAAACTTGAGCGTGTATAACGTACAGGCAACCAACATTCCACCGAAAGAAACGCTAGTCTACTCAAAGCAAACACAAACGACTAGCAGCGGTGGACACGAACGTGATGGTGGGTACTATAAACATGTTACTTAGCATTGGTTGTATTCCATTAGTTGATGTTTTTATTGTATTCGATATCATCATGCTGATAAAAATTAATGCCTGCAATTCTTAAAACTATAACAAGCGGCAATTATTGTAAGAAATCGAAAGATTTTATTTCCAAGAACTTGCGTATTAGCGTTTTTATAGAAAAATCTAAAAAATGATGAATGTAGCATGTACATACAGAGTACATAATAAAAAAATGTCCTTTGTTCAGTGGAAATAAACTCTTTTGTAGCCTTCCAAACACTTGCTTTGGACAAGCTTCATACGACTACATAACATAAATGCTAGTATTTGCCAATGCGGTACCTAATATACTACATATATATAATATGTAATTTCATTACAAAAAAATATATTGAAACACATACATACATAAATGCATAAAAATTTGAATGCGTGCATGTTTTGCATACTCAATATTCATTATATTGTATTTTGTACGCATATATATTGCTATGAAACACATTATTAGATATAAAAACACTGTATGTGCTTAAAATTTCGAGCAATGCTGTGTCACATACTTACATACACGCATAATCACATTCACGTTCGGCTAATTGTCCAGTAAATATTGATTTCCCTTCTCCCCACAAATTACTTGTATGAAAAAATCGATCTTAACAAGAAAATCATAATGAAATAAAATAACAAATACAGTTCTTTCTTGCCACTCCTCACCTCTATCAGGATACATGGAGGATTGGTGGAGACCACGCAAAGGTACTGCTATTTATTATTTCAGCAACACCAAAATTAAAAGAACATTTTAGAATTTTATACAAAATCATTTGCGAAATTGCTTTAAATTTTTTTTATTTCTCACATGCACTAATTGGCTATTTATATACATATGTACTTCGTAGTGAGTGCACGTGCAACAATGGCCAGCTACCTCTCACTTTTTTTATGTTTGAAAACTCCCACGCAACTCCTTTTCTTAAGTTATCATGTTTGAAGCTATTTATATTTTATATTTCGAATTTTCAGCGGCTTTATATACTTATATAATTTTATAATTTAAGTTTTTCTATTATACATTTATAACTATCGTAAACTATGTGGCTAATATTGTTTTTTATCTTTTTTTGATTTTGATTTTAGCTCATGCCACGGATTATTATGGTGAGTTATACCTCTTTTTTTTAATAAAAATATATGTTTAAGAATGTATAAATATCTGTGTGTTTTTCGAGTGTATAGTATTTTAGATTTTTTTCTTTTGTACTTTCATATATACATACTGATAATCTATATCTAATTAAAATAGCATAAATCTTTCTTTCATGTAACAAAGTGATTTTCTTCCTTTAAAGTGAATATCTACTTATGTACTTAAGTCGTAGATGTTGTAGCCGAATAATTTTGGTTTCGTTTCTTTTTTTTTACTCCTTTGTGCAAATGGAAAAGCCGCTTGCGGCGTCGTCTTCTCCAATTTAGACAAACATACTTATTTTTAAGTTTCGCCTGTATAATCGATTCACATTATAATTTATTCTCCACCCATTTTATTATTTCGATTTGGTAAATCGACGAGATATTTGCTGTTTATGAGTTAAATAAGTAGCCTAGTAGACATTGAAATTTTTATATATTTCAGTTAGTAATCGGAACAATAATAATACATTCAGTTTCAAAAATAAATCATACATAAGTATATGTGTGTAACATAATGATAATTTCACATATAATAAATATTACGGCAAGTTCAGCTTTTTAGTTCCTTATTGTAGATTTTTTTTCCTCGACCTACAATCATACAAATATCTTCATTTCAAACAAATATGTTAACATTTGCTGGAAGGGCGATGATTATTCATTATGTTTGTGTGCATTTAATAACAGGTGTATATAGTAAATTTTATTTTTCAAAAATGCATGCTAGCTTCGTAATCTCCATACATATTTTTAAATTAAATATTCAAACAAAAAAGAAATACTCCCGAAATAAGTAAAAGACATTTTATTAACTAGCGGACAATTATACCGTTCTGTTTACTTCAAAGCATTTATTGGAATGCTTTAAGCCATCATATAACAAACATGCATATATATTTTTCACAACTAAAAAAAGAAAATTGTATCGGTTGTGTCTCCTATGAATTTGGCAAAATCATAATTTATTTAATTTGCATTTGGACTTAATGAAATTTTCTATAAAATCCTTTANTTAAGCCATCATATAACAAACATGCATATATATTTTTCACAACTAAAAAAGAAAATTGTATCGGTTGTGTCTCCTATGAATTTGGAAAAATCATAATTTATTTAAATTGCATTTGGACTTAATGAAATTTTCTATAAAATCCTTTAAAAACCAAGTGAAAAATATCAAAAATTTACTTCAATCATCTTTATTCTGTATATTTTTCAAGACGAATACAATCTAAATCCGGGTTTAGAGTGGGAGGATGAGTTCACAGGTAGGTAACATCTGCTCCAATATTTTATGACAGTAGCGGAATCGACATGAAGCAAAATAGGAACGTAAAAAAATTATCTACAAAAGTAAAAAAGTATAATTCTTTCCTTTTAACTCTATTCCAACAAAATACGGTTTTATATACATAAAACAAATAATGCCTTGGATTTGTAGTTGTCCGTTTTCGCGAAATTTCGTATAAAGTTTAAGGTGGCTGAATTGCAACAAAAAAAAAACGAAAGGCTTACCATATACTATTATGCTAACTGCTTTTAAGAAATATTTGTAAAAATGTGTAATCCTTGATCTGTATGTAACCTTTATGTCCTGACCCAAAACAATCCTAGACCATCTTTTCTACCTTCACATAAGCTGCATTCTGTATATGTATGTATCTGTCATTTACCTACAACAAATAAACCCTGTGTTCAGAAATGCATCAAGCCAAAGCATCAGTATCTTTTATTATTAAACTTTAATTGATGAAAATGTCCAATATACGCAACCACGGTTAAATGCCGAATTCAAATTTAATTGCGCAAATATGGCATTTCCATCATTTCAGTTTCGAAACAAAATACACTGATGGTTCGGCTTGATGCATTTCTGAACACAGCCATATTCTCTCATTATTATTAATAAATAATATTCATGCAGCGCATATCTACATATTAACATTTGTATTTACGAATTAACAAAAAAAAAACACGGTAAATAAAACACATGACGGGAGTAAAGCAGGAGAGCTTAGGAAATTACTTTGAAGGAATGGAGAGTTGATGAAAAGGAAAATGAACGTTTTATAGAAAGTGATTATGCAAAAGATAGCTTTACCAGTTTTTAGTTTATATTAATCATACATAAACTAAATTTACACGCTTTGCTTTGCACCATTTGTTTTTGTATATACTACTTACATACAGTGACGAGCAAAACTGTAACATGGTTTAACACTTTTTGTTTCAACCACCGCTATATTTCCAAGTTCTAACGACTTTCATACTTTTGCTGTATATTCTTGTTGGTATATCCCTACTCCCTCTCTCATAATGATTTGAAGTCAATACAACAACAATAAAAAAACCAGCAGACAAAAATGTAAATTAAGGCAGATGTTACAGTTTTGCACTCACTCTCAGTTTTGCATTTGACAGTTATCTTTTACCTAGTTGGAAGTCAGATGACTTTTTTCTATATTGTAATTTATTGAAGAAGTGATCACCAGTAAATAATATAGTTAATCAGGAACCATAAATGTAAATAATAGATTTACTACGGAAAGGCGGAACCGCACGAAAAGTGGCAAAAAATTTTGGAATTTGCTACTTAAAAATGCTAAGACTTAGAAAAAATATAGCCTAAAGTGTTCCCAAGGACAAAGGAAGTCTGTTAAAAAATATTACGGTACGATATCTTGTGAACTTAGAAGCAAGTATCGATGCAGCCACTACTACAGAAGCGCTTAAGGTATTAAACTTTAATGCAAATCAGTAGACAGCGAGGCGAAGAATTGCCAAATTGAGCGCAAAGGCATCATAAAGAAGAAATAAGCAAATGTGATCATAATACATGTGCGAGTGTGGCAGCATTTCACTGCATCGCACGAAAACCGAACCGTTGCCTATTGGGATATGTTAGGCCGTTCAGAATGCAATAAAAAACAAATTTTTAAGTTTCAATTGAAGGTTATTTGATCTGACAAGACTAAGTTAATCGCTTTCAATCAGATGGCCGGGCATGGTATTGGATCAAAGACCCAAATTAAGCCTAAGCGAATCATGTACTGCAAACTGTGAATCACAGTGGTAGGATCTTAATTATTTGGGGTTGTATTTCAAAAATTTTGTTGGTCCGTTAGTACGCATTATGCGTAAGGAACAGTATCTGTTCATATTTCAACAAAATTTGCAAGATGTAGTCGAAAAATGAGAGTTTCTGCTGAAAAATCACCCAAAACATACTGCATATGTTCGCAAAGACTGGCTACAAAAGCAAAAATTTGTTAATTTGAAATGACCTCCACAAACCGCGGACATGAATCTCATCGAGATTTTGTGAAATCAACTAAAAGCACAGCTTAATAAGTATCAATGTCCGTAAAATCGAGTACATGAGCTGTGAAACCAAACTAAGGATATACCTCGAGAATTTTTACAAAGATACAAATAAGGTATGCCAAATCACATCCAGGAACTGAAACAGGCAAAAGAGTACTGAACATTGTGTTAGTAGTTCTTTTTTTTCGTGAAAATTGTTAAAAAGCTCTTAAAAATATATGAGTGCAAAACTGTAACATCTGCCTTAATTTACATTTTTGTCTGCTGGTTTTTTTATTGTTCTTGTATTGACTTCAAATCATTATGAGAGAGGGAGTAGGGATGTACCAACAAGAATATACAGCAAAAGTATGAAAGTCGTTAGAACTTGGAAAGATAGTGGTGGCTGAAATAAAAAGTGTCACACCATGTTACAGTTTTGCTCGTCACTGTACATACATACACGATGCCGTTATTAACGTAAGACTCCCAAATTTAAGCCGTTTAGAAATGTTTTTTTTTTTATATTACTCCTAATTAAATTAAAAAGTATTAGATTTATTAGAATCTTTAAAACATCTCGAAAGATATAATTTGTAACGTTGAAGCTATTTACTTTTGCTACAACATATCGAATATGCTTTAGGGATTTTTTGGATTGGTGAGGACAATATGCGTTATTTAAATAGTTTAGTTGCAAATGAAGGAGACGAAGAAGATCGGTGTCAACCCATCACAACAAGCTAGTATGCATGCGTCTTTGATGATTGATCAGAATGATTTAGTTTTGAGATTTTCACGCTCAAACTTTAAATGCACTTGTACCAGACAAGGTTTTTGCTCAGAGTAATACTTGATCGTTTATTTTTTAATACTTGATTTATTCGGTGATTAGAGGTACTTAGCTAAGAATAAACTATGCTTTGAAATAAATAAATTAACAGCCCTCGTGAACCCGCATGGCATTAAAATGCCTAATATAACATAAAAACTGCTCCAAATGTTAGTCAGAGTTATAAGCGATCCGAGTGCCATATTTATATTCTCAGTAAAGAGAGCTATCGCACAGTATACCCCTTCTAATTTCATCAAATTTCAAATCATCACCCTGTACTTTTAAACAAGTTCCAATTTTCGAAAATAACGGTGCAAATCTAATGACTATCACAAATAATGCATTCTCGTATAATATATGTACATATATACTTAGTTAGATCGATATGACTTTTCGAAAAGGTGGCCAGCTTAATGAAAGATGTTTTTAAACTAAAGCTTTCATAAATCTCTATTTGACGCTCATATATTAATACTTCATAAAGCTTGTGCAAAAAGTAACTAAATTCGACTTTACAAACAGCTGGAAATCCACTTATAAAGTAGTTTTACACTAAAATCTTAAATTACATACATATTTCAATTAAGTAAAGAATTAAGTAAAATTCGATTTTTCAAACACGTGGCAAACCTCCCAAATAAAGGATCAGAAATAAAGCCTTTACCAGCCCTTATTCGATTGATATCCATATTTTAGTAATTCATCTAACTTAAAAAATTAAACCTGTTCAGACATCCCCAAAAATATTCCTAGTGTCAAGACTTAGGATGTGCGATTAATCAATTAAAGGAACAAGCTGTTTAATGGAAACCTGATTAATTAATTAATAAAATAATAATAATTTTTGATTAATCAGAGTGATTAATTTCTCGATTAATTACATCTTAATTAATCAAAACCTACTAAATTTTATTAATCAGAAAACTGATTAGTCACAAGCTGATTAATCAGAAACCTGAATAATTGCTGCTATATTTTATTTTGTTTTTTTTTCATAAGCAACAAAGTAAGGTGCTCGTTTTGGCGTTTTATTTTTGTTAATACGAAAAAGTTGTATTATTTATATTATAAAAACAATTCATTTACTTTGAAAGCAAAATCTAAAGAAATGAGCAAAGCTTCTCAGGTTTAAATTAATTTTTTATGAGTAAACCGTAATTACTAAGGTTCTGGTAAATCAGAATCTCATTAATCACGTTTTTTTTTTGTTTAACCAGGATTATGATTAATTAAAGAATCAATTAATCGATTAATCGTACGTCCCTAGTAGAAGCTAAAGATTTCTGAACACTCTCTTGTTTGACTTACATATTTAATATCTATTTGATATACCTTCTGCATAAGCTTCTTAAATATCTCCTTCATCTGACATTGTGATACATACTTCAATTAATTAATAATTTAACTTGGATTTGATTTTGCAAACATAAGCCAACCCCCTAAATATAGTTCAGTAATAAATCATTTGCAAACCCATTTCGATCCCAATATTTTAATAATTTACTTAACTATAATAAATTGAATTGAAACATTCTTAACGGGTGACAACCGTCTTTAAACAGTTCAAAAATATTCTGTCCTTAATCAAAAGGTTTCTTGCTACTCTATCCTTTGATAGATTTTAATACTTCATTGTAACGCTCTTTAAAATATATCCAAATTAAAACCTTAAACCGTCGGACACACCTAAATATACTGTGATGAATATTTCACTTATCTGATTTCCCTAATAGCAATTGAATTTGATTTTTTTAGCAGGTGGCAACCCTCGTACATGTACTAAAAAAATAAAACCTTTTCAAAACCATTTCCATTGATAGCCATATTTTTTTTAATCATATTTAATTTGAATTTAATTTTTGAAATGGTGGTAACTCTTTTCGAAAAAGCAAAACCATGTTGCATATTTACAGCCCATCTTCTTTAATCACCTCACTTTTGAAAATCAAACGAACGGTGCAGTTCTGATGACCTGGACAAAAAATCCCTTCGCGTATTATATATATAGATTAGTCAACAAACATTCATGTTAGGAGAAGTTTCCTAAATCCATTGTAGTCCGATTCTACGTGAAATCTACGAATCACTGACTAACTAGCAATTTCAAGACAGCGATTGCTTTTTAAAAGGCCAAGCCATATCTAATTCTTTTCTCATTTTTCCTTCATCGGGTGCTGTGAATACACAAAAACGCCTTCATGCTTTTAACAGATATACTTAATACCTTCATTCTTTATATATATACATAGTTTTGTGCTTCACCTCACATCTATTTTTTAAAGCAAAATGTTTAAACACAGCATTTTCCCTTCAAACGCTTACTTTGGTTTTTCTTCCACTTTCCACCAACCCAGAAACAGGATGAGCACCGTCGCATTATTTACATGCAAATGCAAATGCAAATGTATACATACATACTATATTTCTTAATGGCATACCGAAATAATTTTAGGATATACATATAATACAGTTATTTGAAATATAAATTGGGTGGAGAAACGTGAATATGATAAGTGAAATGAATAATGTATTTTAACTAAATAAATGTTATAAATAAATAATTAATTCTTTTATGAATCCTCAAACACACACTTTTACAG